CCGCCCTTAGGAAATGCACGAAGAAAGCATCCAAGTCGTCTTAATCGGCTATCACCTGTTGTTTTCGTTAAAATTACAACAAATATTTGAGGTTGCTCACCTGTGGCAAGTGATAATTTGTCGAAGATATGTAAACTTAGTTAAGTACTCCTTAGTAATTGAAAACATCAAATTGAGTGCGAGTTGCTGATGCAATAACTTAGGAAGAGAATTTTCTTGTATTTCCTTGGCTCCCGAAGTATTCTGCGATCAAATCTCGAATTGGTGGCAATTGACGCATCAGCAACTCGCAAAAGAAAAATTATCATGTTTTCAATTATCAAACAGTTCTTTCCACAGGTTTACATAAACATAAACTACAGGTTGTCACTCTCTTCAGGTGAGCAATGTCAAATATTTGCCGTAACTTCAACGACAAATACAATATGAACGAACTAAAGGTGACAACTGTAAACCTACGCTAGGGAAACCCATATCTTTGGCAGAATTTTGTGCCAACCGGTTTCCACAGTTGACAATCGGGGAGCAAAAGATGAACCTTGGTGATAGTCTCGTAGGGGTTAAAACCATATTAAAACCCAATTCATAACTTTGTGATTCACAATTTTTTCATCTTTTGATGAAAAGATTGATGACACGGTGTCATTTTCAGTTTGCTGCAGATGAGAAAATTTATGTGAACGGAAAGATCATACTTTTTGATTGGCGCGCCTTCCAAACGTTACGACGTTTAGAAGAATAAGACTTTTAAACTGAAATAAACTAACCCTAAAATTAAATTAGAAAAAAAATATACTAACCTTAATTTAAAACTATCGTTTAACCCTCCACGAATAAAACGAGAACAAGAAAGAATCTAAGTCTCTCAGAAATAAACTATCTGAAGGCGGGATAATTGGAATTTGTCTTGAAATTGTTTTTCATGTTTCACTGATTCAAAGTGTAATCAATTCAATTTCTTCACGACTTGATCTGTGAAACCGTCACCAACCGTTCAGTTTGATAGCAACTGAATTATCACGCACCTAGGACCGAACGGTTCCTTGTTTCTTTCGAAACTCGAGGAGATTTTAAAGGATTGCTTTTCAGCAACGAGTTTCCTAGCAACTAGTATTCACCGGAAACCTTACTTCACGCACCCTTGCGGTTTTCTTGGAGTGTTTGTACGAGATTTATCTCAAAACATACTGGTTGTTTATATCTTACAATGCACATACGGGTGTTTAGGTTTAATAATGAACAGACTTGTTAAACTACATAAGCTTCATAGTGAAGTTTTCATGATAACAGTTAAAAAATGTTGGGTGTTACGACAAGGGAACTGGACTTGAGAACGACAGGAATGTGCTCAAACTGCGACCAAATGTAAGATCTACCTTGACTCTCACGGACCTCTCCTCCACAAGGGGTCTAAGTGGGAAGGAATGAATTCTGGGTTGTAGACAAAACCTGGGGAATGGGGTGGGGGGAGGGAGGTCACTTGCAACGGACTACTATCCCACAATTCACTTGTAGATAACTACAGCAGTAATAAGATATCGACACCGTCATGAAGGTAACCGAGTTTAAGACAAGAACTACAAAACGACGACTTTGAAAATTCAGGGTTGGTGATAGCGTTCTCAAAATCAGTCAGCAAGTCAGTCACCCATAACCAACAGGCAGGCTCTATCAAGACCACCTTCACAGTTAATATAAAGGAGCAGATTAGAACAAAGGGAAAACACTTTTGTGATGTTGTATTTCCAAGCACATCAACAAATCAGCATACGAGTTAAAAACATGATCATACGACACATCGTAACATGCTTCAGGAACATATGAACCATCCGCTTGCTTAGGTTTCGCTGCTTCTTGCTGAGCTTCAGTAGATGTCAGTTATAAAAACTTCACGGGGGTGGCCATTAAATTATAAAGAAAACGTCTGCAAAAGAAACTAGAAGATAGCGCTTTCTAAAGAAAAACGTAACTCACTTGTTGAAAGTCAATAGCACTTTTCGAACTCTAGCTTCACAGTTAATATTGTGTTAATTATACTACTTCGCCGATTGAACTGCAAGGATTTTTTTTTTAAAAAGCCATCGATCGCATTCCTATACAAAATTGCATCTGTTGAAGTTCAACTTCTCAGCCTTGAACTTTTCTCTTTCTTGAAAGTGTTGTATTATTCTCTTCAAACTTAAGCAAACAAATGTGTTCCTAAATGCACATCGATCAGATGTAAAACTAAAACCCGCTACAACTCGATATTTCTCATTTTCCTGCGTCAAAAGCCAGTTAAATGTATTACGTCGAAAATCTCATTGGCTTCTTCGAGTATTTACCTTAATGAATGTTCGGATAGGCTGTTGTAGTTTGGTCTTTGGCTCTAAGAAGCTTGATCGAAAAGCACTCTAAAACAAGAGTTGTAAAACAAAAAGACTTCATATTATCAAAGGGACAGGGTGTCGAACTATCGGTTCAGCTTTAAACAGCAGTATGACGTCATCAACTAATGGAACTCCTTCCTATGATACATTTCTGGAGCGTAGAATGACGTCACCACCACTCGGTTAGCAAACTTGCGGCCGGCCAGGGCCTGGGCAGCGCTCTTAGAGTCGTCTGGTGACCCGAATTCCACAAATATCTGAAAGAGAATAAACTCAGTCAGTCTTATTTGAGGCAGGAAGTTACCAATATTAACCCTTCCACACCTACAGCTGTAGGAGAGACTAAAAATAACTACCTCTTCAATCTTACACTTTACATTACTTTTGCTTGGTTATTCCCTTTCTCTCATAATCTAACGGACGTTTCTACCTTACCCCACCAACGCAAAAGGGGACCACTCGTGTAAGATTTAGCGTTCCCGGCCTTTCTTCAAATGAAATGTCCGTCAGTTACAAATTTCTAACGGGCGCTTTGCAGGATTGAACTCTTGGGTGCTGGCAGGAACGGGAGGAGAGTGTGAAGCAACTTAACCATGAAAAAAAATATGTATATCCCCTAACAAAAACATGGACCCTTCATCCCCTAAAAGCGACTGGCTTCCACTTTCTCTTTACAGTATCACTGAATCAAATGTTGATCCTTACGAATATAGGAAACGATCACCAATTCAACAAACTCCTGATTGTCAAACAAATATTCCTTGTCAGTCCCATAGGAAATATAAAGAGGACAGAGAAGAGAATAAGAATATTACAGTTAGGGTTAAGGAGAAGGGGAAAAAAGCCCACAGACCATTACGCAGAAAAGCTGTGAAAACGTCATTTGATAACAGGACGAAGGTGACGTACATTAAGACCATCTCGGGTTGTAACCATTACGGATAAACTGGCCAATCGAAAAGGTACGTCATGCTACAAGTAATTACCTTCCCACAGCCAGGTGGTTCAAAACCTTCCACAGGTCTTGGTATTTCAAGGCTGACGACTGTGCCATACTTTGAACATTCTGCGCGAACATCTTCGTAAATTTCTGGATGATAAAACAAAAGAGAGATCATTTAACCATTTCTGCCATAAACGAAAAATCTTTCATCGGTAAGCATTATGGAATTATGCAAAAAAATCTGCCAGGTTTTTCATTCTTTTTTTGAACTACACAGAGCTTTCTACCGCACAGAACAGAATCATTGGTATTAAATTGAACATGGGACCCCTCCTTACTGTCACAGTGGATATCCTTTGATGGAAATTAATTACCAAGTTAAAAAATTTACCACCTGACCCAGAACACCGTTAAGACTCAGTGGCGCAGCGGCACAGCATCGCAGCACCGAATCCGAAGCTCTGAGATTCGATTCCTCGTGGGTGCTCAGAACTTTTTTTTCCGCGCTTGTGACGAGATGAAAATATAATTCTCTGCCCCCTGATAGTTACTACGAGAATTTGACGTTCTATCAACATAACTTTGATAAGGGATCTTCCTCTTTTAACATTTTTGTTACCTTCATATTCCTCGTCATCCATGAGTTCTTCTATGTCCAACATGTTCATTAGACACAGAACTTCTGTAGCACTGTTGTGTAGATTGGCTGACAGGTCAAGACCAGGTATTTGCATCTGGGCTGGAATCATGTTTATTGCATCAGGCTGGAGGATAAAAAAAGGTAAAAAAAAATAAATTGGACTATTTGATTCAAAGTGTTTACATTGATTCAGTTGATTAATCCATCTGTCTGTCGGTCAGCTAGTTCTGCACTCCTACTCTATCTCTCTCCTTACATTATTCATGTTGGTCTTGGCTCCCACACTTGCTCTCTGAACAATTAACTTCTTCTCTCCAAGCTGCATACCATTGAGTCCAGTGATAGCCTGCATTGAAAGAAACAGTTCATGAATTTTAAACGTACAACAAAACAGTTCCGAGTCGACAAAGTTGGGCACTGTCATCATTTCTCTACCATATCCAAAGTATCAGTCAATGTAGAGTACTACAAGCCACTTACCACATCTGTAATGTTCAGATCCACATATTCACAGAAAGCATAACCCTTTGAGAGGCCTGTTGCACTGTCTTTCACAAGATTAAAGGCTTTGAGCTCACCAAATGATGCCAACAGCTCCTTAACCTGCAGAAAGAAGGGAGATGGTCGCAACTTTGGTTAAAAAAAATATAAAAATGTTTTACTAAACCACATAGTAGTGGATATCAAGGCAGTCAGACCAGTAGAAGCTAAAACTGTGTACATTGTGTTTATTCATTTGTTTATTCATCTTTTTTTTTTTTTGAGGGGGGAGGGGGGAAATCTGTTTTGATTCTTACATAGAGCACTGTCTGGTCAGACTACCTTGGATCATGACAACTTCTAAAACATCATACACACCCAAATGTAACACCATACTTCAATCTTTTGTTTGAAACTCATATCAAGATGCACAAGAAGCAAGGTGCTAAATTGTGGTGTAACAAGATGAAATTTCAGTTAATAAGACAGCAAAACAAAGTTGAAAATGGCTTTGATTTGACGGGGAAGCTTTGGAATTGAAACTTTGGATGCTGCATATGTTGCTATGCTACACAAATACTCCATACACATTGTACTTGCACTTTCTTGGTACTTTAATATCACCATTAAATGTGAGTCACATCTGAACTGAACAGTTCAAGAGAACATGGATAAAATTTGACACAATTGGAACACTTGTGGAAAATGCCAGTGCTTCAATGCTTATCAAATCGTTCTAAATTGCATGTGCTCTGCAACAAAGAACAACCCTTCAACTTCAAAGCCACTTTAAGGTAGACAGTCTTAAGACACCTCTATCAGCTTTTTCTGTCGCCAAATTTTAATATCAAATGATAAAAAAACCAAATTCTTTCAATTTGTTTCATGCTCCACAGTTTATAGCTGTAGGTGTCTCATTCCCGCCTAAGTGATTTTAAAGACACATCCGCAGTGCATACATCACTCTCCATCAATCCCTCCTTCCACACAATTGATGCAGAAGAACTTGCCTTTAGCCAGTTTTGATGACCAATTTAGGCCCCCCTAAGCTAGGGATCAAATGAGGGGGAAATAAAAGCGTAAAATGTCAGTGTCTCTTCATTTAAAACTGATTTAAATTCAAAAACCACCTACTCCTGGGGAATTAAAGTGAAAGCTACACCAGGGAGCTGACTTTGGATATTGAAAAACTGAAGCTCTTCCAAGTTCTTATCAAAGGTAGAAGCTTCTGACATTGATCACACAAAGAAGTGCAACCCATCATCAGAAGCCACAGTATCATTTCATGACTCACAAGTACTTGGAGAGAGCCACAGAAATATAGTACACCTTTTAAACTTGAATTCCTGAGACCTACAACTAAGTGCGGTATGCTAAGAAAGGGATGTACATGTATTTACAAGATCTACAATGAAGGTTGTCGTCGTAACACAACTTTGGTTCTACTCTAACATGACCACTACTCTTGAGATGACAGATGATAGTATAGGAAGACAAATGCATCTCTCATTCCACTTATTAACTCTTAATTTAAATTCTCTTGTAGCCTAAAAGCATTGTTTTGATCAGTCATTATTCATGTCTGTTACCAGATCTGATCTTAGATTTATTCTGCTGCAAATTAAACAAAGACTGGTCATAATTGCTATTCTGATTGAAAATCTATTCATGTCTTGTCTACACGAACACAGCATCTAAAAAAAGAAATTGCTGAAAAAGAAGTGTGTTGCGAGTGGAGTCTTTCATAAGCCGAAGATGGTTCACAATTGTTGATCTAAAAAAAAAATAGAAAGGCTGAAACACAATTGCTGAAAAAACAAAAGTAGAATTTTGGCATTAGTTTGTTGCTATGATATTCCTGCCAATGAGAGAAATTTTCTTGTCTTTAGAAGTTAATTTGCTTCCTTTTTGGAGCTGCCAAATATTCTACCAAAGTTTTTTTTTCTTTTTCATTCTTGCAGAATCCTGCATTCTAAGGGCAGAGAGTTGACACATTTAAGCCATTGCAGTGTGGCGTCAAATGTATCAAGATGACACGGCTGCACGGTAAAAATTTTTCTAATGAATCCCAATCAAATTTTTTGCACTTCAGCTGAGTCTAATTGACAGAGAACCTTCACAAGATTTTGTAACCTTTATTCAGTTATAATGCCTATCATTTTTCAACAATTTTGTCAACACACTTCCACCCCCTTGCAACTTAGTTCCTATGCATCCCATACATCTTACCTGATCTTCATTAAGGTAGTTTGGCAAACCTCCGATGAAAATCTTGTGTGGAGAGTCAGGCACAACAGTTGAAACAACTCCTGGCACATGAATTGTGGCTGTTTCTGTAGAATTAAAAATTGGGTGTCAGCATCTGGAAATGCTGTACTTGCTTGTAGAAACAGAGAATATTAACCATTAAAATATTAAAAAAAAATTGTACATACAAGTATGCCTACAAAAAATTGGAACTATAACAAGTATGATAGCTTTACTACAACCACTAAGTACCTTACTAATTACAAGTATGCTTCAAGCTCTCTGGATGAGTGATCTTCTTAATGGCTGGTTTCATGTATAGAAAGCTGCCAAACGCATGGTCTTCATCAGTGAAGCAAGCAACAATTGGCTGCTCTTGCTAGCTTGCTGGACATGTCCAAGTACATTTAAATACACACACCACAAACCAGCATTAAGAAACAATGCTTTCTCTTGTGCTTTAGCATGTCTTTAACCACTCTTGTGCAAGCCCTTTTGTTGTGTCTGCATTATAAGTTTAAGTAATTAAAAGGTCAAGCACAGAAGAAAACTTGATTAACCCTTTGACTCCCACAAGTGACCAAGACAGACTTTCTCCTTACAACATCAATACAATATCAAGCAGGCAGGTAATGAGAATAGAGAAGAATATCAATCATGGGATTATTACTTGATCCAATACCAAATTCTCTGAACTAACATCATAAGAATTGTATGGCACATAGTAAAGAGAAATACTAATCAGATCTTGGGAGTGAAAGGGTTAAAGAAAATAATAAGAATTAAACTGTACAGGTGTACATCTCATCAATTTTTTTACCTGTCTAACACAGACATGCAAATTAAAAAAAAAAATAAACATATGACCACAGTACCTGACATTCCTGGAATAGGTTGGTAATCTTTAGGCCTTCTAATTTTCAATGATTGGCCCTAAAATATAACAATCAAACAAAATGTCAAAGATACTAAAATACTATTGATTCTGTAAACTACAGCTACAGTGTAACAAGATGGTCTTCATTAACATATGAAACTCTGTTTTTCTTTGGATAGACGCCACATGCTTACTAGAGGAAGGGTGCTCATCAAGAAACTATTAACCTGTACTGATTCCACTGTAATTGAAGCTTAAAAAATATAAATGCAGTGGCAATAAAAAAGGAAAGTGAGGGAAGAAGGGGGGTGCTATTTGAGAGGGGTGCTTGTTTGATGTTGTAGTCTGAGGGATGGCACTTATCTGAAGATTATACAGTGTGTTTATCTTCCCTATGAAGTAAGATTTTAATGTGACTGGTTGTAAAAATTCCATCAATTATTCATTGATTAACTATCACAGAAAAGAGCTACATGTATCAATTTTGTGATTGCTTTTCTAGAGCTTGTACAAGAGACTGTAACAATGAAATTAATAGTTACAGTAGTCAAATTCTTTCCACTTGTATTCATCAACATTAGATTTGCTAAGACCAAACTACAACACTTTCTGAACTGTACCTCTAAAATAATTCCATCAAAAGCCATGGCTTGAGTGGTCTCTTCAACTGAACGAAGCTGGTAAGTTTGGGAGAACAACAAATGAGTAAACACTGCAGAATATATTGATTGCTTTAAATTAAATACACATACCACGCAAGTGCATTCTACATTCAAAACATAACAAGATCTAATCAAAACCACCTCCCCCTGCAACAACAAAGACAGGATTGACAAAAAGATGTTAACAATACAGGTGTATGTGGCAAAAATTTGATGAAAGATGGCCAGCAGTGGTAGCCTTTTCCTCTGCTATTTTTCCTTTGTTATCACTTTTGGCTGATGACAACTTCAATTTCAAACCACTGATACATGTATCTGTGGTCCCAATCATATAAAATACACAAATGCCAGCAAACAAACAAATACCCAAAAAAGAAACAAGACCATAACAATGTACCTCAATAAAGGCAAAATTTTGCTCCAAGTTGATCTGTGCAGCAATGACAGGGTTTCCTGGTGCTGTGTTTAACTTGGCCTCTTGCATTTTGGCATTGAAGAATTCTATCATCAGGTTCTATGTTTGAAGAAGGAATACAGGGTATCAGGGTATTGGAGATAAAAATACATGACAATGTTTACTTCAACTGCCATGTGTCAGTACTTTCAAAGCTCTCAAAATGGAAAATCAGGTTGGAGAAGAGAATTATCTGTTAACAATTTCTATTTTTCAACACTTGTATAAATATTGTATGCAGCCACCCCAAGTCAGAGTTCATTCATATTTCCAAATTGGGTCATTGTAACAAATTCCAAATAAAAATCAAATAAGCAAAGGGGAAAAACAAAAAAATTGATAAAAAGGAAAATAGGAAAGAAAAGAGGAAACTATAGTACATGTGGGCAGAGTGGAATGTCTGAGACCACTTAAATACTCCTACTGTTTCCCACTCATAAAAAAAAAAAGTTTACTAGTACCTTTAGCTAAATGTTTCAAGTTTATTTTATTATCAATTGCTAAATTGCTTGTACATGACCAATAAAAAATCAATAAATACAAAAAATGAAGCCATAAAACACAACTGCCACACCTTCACTCTACATGTACAAGTAATTAAATAGAATTTTAACTTTAACCCTTTACATGTGTAACTTCCATGAATGATCAAGACAGAATTTCTCCTTACAACACCAATACAATATCAGCGGGTAAGAGATGAGAATAGACAAAAGTATCAATTAGGGGATTATTAGTTGATCCAATACAAAATTCTTCAAACCAATATCAAAAGAGTTGTATAACAGACAGTAAGGAGAATTAGGTGAATGATCTTAGGAGTGAAAGGGTTCCACGTCTAATGAAACTACAGCTATAATTATGCAGAACACACCTCTGTTATACCAAAAGGAATGTTTCCAACATATAATCTACGAGCCTGTCTTGTCATCTGACTTCCTTGTGGCAAACTGCTAACGGTGCCCCCTGGGACTGGACCACCTGCATTGACTGGTATCTGACCAGCAGCTATTTACAACAAGTAAACAAGAACTTTTAAAAGATAACCTAAACAATCCCAAACACTGAAAATACTATAAGCCATGAATGCAGATAAGCTTCACCATGAGTTTGGCGACTCAAATTTTGGAAAACAATTCTTTGAAAAGAAATAGACAAAAATTACAAGTCAAGTCTGGAGAAAGTTGCTTTATTTTGGTTGCTTCATTGAACATACATGCACGTTCAGTGACTAACATTGAAAACAGAGAATACTTTGAATCATTATTGATAATTGTAGCTGTAGTAGTATGGACAACATGTCTACAGCACCAACCTCAACTTATATTTGATCTTATTCTAGTATTGTTCAACCAGTATTTTTTAAATTCCTGTCAGATTCACAAAGGAGTTCTACATAAAACAACACCTAATTTTTAGCAGAGCTAATATATATTGTTCTTTGGATCTAATGCAATAATGTAAAAATCAATAATAATTGTTCACTTGAAATGTAACTTTACCTCGCATAGCCTTGTACTGTGCAGGTGTCAAATGCTCATATCCAATTGGAGGCCTGTCCCATAAGCTTTCCCTTCAAAAGAAAATATACATGTAAGATACATTACACCAGGAACAAAATCAGAAAGAGTAAACAACAAACTATACAGCCTTAGACATGAATGAAAATCAATATGGAACTTATGTGACAACAGTAACACTTGGTATACCTGTAACACTAGAAAATTTAACTCTTTGATTCTTACCTCTTTCTCCTTCTCCGTGGTGGTGAGGGGGACCTAAAAAGAAAAATTAAAAGCATATAAATTCTGTTAACCCTTTAACTCC